ACCAATGGCCTGCTCTGCCAGGCACTACAAACTCTCTGTCCTCAAAGAGCTTATAATGTAGTATGAAAGACAGATAAACGTATAAACAAAATAAGAAATAATCATGGGCCAACCCTGGTGGCCTAGTGGTTAAGTTGGGCACATTCTGGTTCGGTGGCCTGGTTTGGTTCCCCGGTGTGGACCTACACCATTTGTCCGTCAGTGGCCATGCTGTGGCGGTGGCTCATATACAAAAAGAGAAAGATTGGCAGCAGATATTAGCTCAGGGTGAATTTTCCTCAGCAAAAAAAGACAAATAATTATGATTTCAAGTTGTGATAAATATTGTGAAGAAAAGAAAAATGAGGAAGAGGATAGAGGATAACTGGGAGCAAGGACCCTACTTTGAATAGATTGGTTAGAGAAGGAAGGGTTTTCTTAGAGGTGACATTTGAACAGAGACGCTGAAGATAAAGAACCTGCCATGTGGGGGAAGAATGAGCCAGGTGGGAGGAACAGCAAGTATACAGACCCCTTGGAAAATGTTTAAAGACAGCAAGAAGACTCCTTGAATGTAAGTGTCTTGAGGAAAGGCACTTCTGCCTGTCTTAGTCATGCTCTATCTCTAGCACCTAGAGCAATGGCTGGCATACAGGAGGCACTCAGTACATGTTTATTGCTAGTGAGCAAAGGAAGCGTGGCAAGAGATGAAGTCAGAGTTGTGGCCGGGGCCAGCTTGTGTCAGGCCTTGTAGACCGAGGAAGACGTTTGAATTCATTCTAGTGGGAAGCCACAGAGGTTTCAACAAGGGCATGATGTGATCTGATTTATGTTTTAACTGAGCTAGATGAGAATTGATGAAGAGTTAGGAGCATGAGGTTTGAAATCAGACAGCTGGGTTCATCCTAGCTGTACCACTTGATATTGGTGTGACCTTGGGCAAGTTTTAAGAACACTTAAGCCTCAGCTTTCCTGTGTGTAGAATGAGAATGATAATAGTATCTACCTCACAGGGTTGGTAAAGAGTTAAATGAGATCATCTCAGGCCCTGATTTTTGAAATGCTGGCTAGTATTACTTTAGAGTAGTGGTAGAATGGAGAGGAGAGGCAGATGTGAGAAATGTTTAGGGTGTAAAATTGGCAGAATTTGTGACTGCTTAGGTATAGTAAGTGAGCAGAAAGCCTTGCTCTTTGGGAAAAGTTCTTAATTGAGCCTCAGTTTCTTCATTTGTAAAGTGGGGATTCTACTGGTTTTTTATTTATTTCTAATAGCTTTCTAATTTATTTACCTCACAGGGCTGTAGCTTGTGAGCATCAGCTGAGGTAATGTGTACCTTTTAGCTCATATCCTTGTGGAAGCAGAACCCGATTAAGTGGCTGACTTTTTATTTGGGAGCTGCAAGCCCAGGGTAGTGAAAATGAGGGAGAGAAGGAAGGTAAGGCAAAGGAAGATGCAGTACATTACATCCCTGGCAACTGTTTCACCTTGAGCTAGGAGACATAGCAGGCCACTTGCATATGGGACTTTTTTGAAAGGGTTTCGAGGCAAAACTACACTTCAGAGTAGTCCATATGAGAAAGAAAGAAGGGATTATTTATCTGTCCAGCTTCCTCTCATTTCCTGTTTCCAGACCGTCAAGGCTTCACCCCATGGGGAACTAATTTACCTGTGCTTCTGAGTTGTGTGGCTTCTCAGTGACTGATCAGCCAGCAGTTCTCACACCCTGAGTTGTATTTCAAGCAACCCATAAAGGGAGGGATGTCCCAGGGTGGATGGAACACCACCCAAAGACAGAGATTGAAGGGGCAGTGGAAGGTTCACAAGGTTCATGTCCTTGTATAAAATATAAAAGTCGTGTGAAACCAGTATCATTTTTGACTAAGGAAGTACCAACAATGTTTTAGGATGATTTGTTTGACTTTACTTTTTATGGTTATTTGAAAGGAGAAAGTGGCTGGAATTAGGACACAAAATCCTAGATTTGAATTTATCTGAGAATTTGGACTATGAGCATGGCCGTAGTAGGCTTAATAGGAAAAGGTTGATAACATTATGAATAAGGGAAAGATAGGACTTGATGAGTAATATGAAATCAGGGGAGGGTTACTTAAAGATGGCTTTGGGGGCCAGCCCCATGGCTTAGTGATTAAGTGCGCGGGCTCCGCTACTGGCAGCCTGGGTTCGGAACCCCGGGCGCGCACCAACCACCGCTTGTCCGGCCATGCTGAGGCTGCATCCCACATACAGCAACTAGAAGGATGCGCAACTATGACATACAACTATCTACTGGGGTTTTGGGGAAAAACAAAAAGGAGGAGGATTGGCAATAGATGTTAGCTCAGAGCTGGTCTTCCTCAGCAAAGAGAGGAGGATTAGCATGGATGTTAGCTCAGGGCTGATCTTCCTCACAAAAAAAAAAAAAAAAAAAGATGGCTTTGAAATTTTGAGCCAGGATGACCATAAAAATGGTAGGAAGTACAAATGGGAAAGTTTTAAGCCAAGGCTATTTTTATTTTATTTAAAACACCCAAAACTGATTATTATTATTAAGTGTATACGGTAAAAAGTATTAAGTCCTCTATCACCCCTACCCAGTCTCACTCTCTAGGTAACCAGTACTGAATTGTGTGTTCTTCTAGACTTCTTCTAGGCCTACCCAAGCTCACATTGACTTAAAAATGTATATGTGCAGATGAGGAAATAAACTATGCAATACTGTCCTGCCATCCACTTTTCTCAGGGTCTGGTTAGGAATCTGTGCATATTTGATATTTTTTCAACTTTTTATTGCAAATGATTTCAGACATCCAAAAAATTGAAAAAATAAAAGGAATATCCATATACCCACCACCTAGATCAACAGTTGTTACATTTTGTCATATTTACTTCCTCTGTCTCTAGCTACAGCTTTTCTAAATAAATTATAGACATCATGACACTTTATCTCTAAATATTTCACCATGCATTTCTTAAAAATAAGGACATTCACCTGTAACCACAATACCATTATTGTACTTCAGAAGATTAATATTTTTATACTATATTGAATATCTCCAGTTGTCCCAAAAATGTTATTTAAAGCTGTAAGGAAGCTGTGCTTTTCAAACTGAGATCCAGTCAAGGTTCATACATTGTATTTTGTTATGTTTCTTGAGTCTCTTAATTCCCAGTGTCGCCTGGTTATTTTTTGAAGAGACTAAGTCACTTCTCTTGTAGAATATCCCACTGGATTCATCTGATTATTTCTTCCTTGTATCCTTTAATTAGTTCCTTATTTCCTGTATTTTCTGTGAACTGAAAGTTGTTTCTAAGGGCCTGATTAGATTTAACATATTTGCAAGATACTTTGTAGCTGTTGCTGTATACTTTATATAAAAAGTGCATAATGTCAGTTTGTCCACTATTAGTGATGCTAAATTTGATCAGTTTGTTAAGGTGGTGAGAGGAACATCTTTTTCCATTTGCAATTAGAAGTAATCTGTGGGGTAATTGGCATTATGTAAGCATTCCAACATTGATGATCATTGCCTTAATCAGTTATGTCTTTGAGAGTTGCAAAATGGTACTTCTCCTAGTTCTATTACTGTCTACATTTATTAGTTAGTTTCTGTAAAGAATAGCTGTCCCTTATCAACTGGGAATGAACTGTGATTCTTCCCAGAAAGGCGTGTTAAAACTTAATTCATCCTTTTCATTTACTAGTTTTCACAATAAAAAGTTGATGTAATAGTGACCCACATTTGATATTTTAAGTGTTTTTAATGTTTAAGAATTGAGAGTAATTTATTGGTCTTTTGATTCTAATTTGAAATGTATAATTGAGTGAATAA